ACTTCAAACTTCCCGATTCATTATTGCGAAGCAATGGGGCTCTGCCCCTTGATACTACAATAACCGAGCAAACACTGTCGGAGCAAAAAAAAAATTGAGCGACCGAACATGTAAATATTGTGATAGAGAGTTCAAGTTTCCTTATATGTTGAAGCGACACAAAAGTACTAAATGTTGGGTCAATGTTGAGTTAACAAAAGTCAACGTCGATAATAAGTCAACAAAAGTTGACATTAAGTCAAAGTCGAGTCAAAGTCGAGTCAACGGAGGGTCGACAAAAGTTGACATTGAGTCAAAGTCGAGTCAACGTCGAGTCAACGAATGGTTGACAGAAAAAAATACCGTCCCTGTATACTTATCACTTGCATAGACATTGAACTATTCTACTACTTCCGGGGATGTTGTGATATGAGTCAGCTCTGCTTCTTCGTCATTTCGATTTTTTTATTTATTAACAGACGTAAATGATCATCTGCCCACATTACACAAATTCAACCGCGATTCAACTGCGATGCGTCTTTTTCAATTGATATTTATATTAGACTATTTAACCGTGATCCAACCGCGACTCAACCGCGACTCAAACATAGTTTAGCTGTATGGCAGACAGTGATATTACTGCAGATTAATATATCAACAAATTAGCGGAGCAAGCACAAAGTGCTAATTTCATTACTTGTCGGATTTAATATCCTAAAAAGGTAAGATTTGCAGTGGTATTACTGCATCTGACGATCATAAATTATTAGTATGAAAAGATTGGCAGGTCCGGCAAATGGTTCTGATTAGAGTTCCTGCTTTTTCACAATAATACTGTAGTTATATACTTATCATTTGCATAGACATTGAACTATGTGCGTCTCCTAAATGTATATTTCTTTTCGAATTTCAAGATCGCGAAAATTATTTTTTGTACTATCGTGAAACGGATGACTGTCTTTATGGTGCTATATACTAATGGATTTCTGCGAAGCAGGACACTTCCTGTCTATCGTTATAAATATGAAATTCGCTTGATGTTGTGAAATACGTCTTATTGCAAGCAATGAGGATCTGCCTCTACAAGTTTTATTTCACAAATTTCAACCGTAGTTCAACCATTGTGTATTTTTTCACTATGTATTAATATGTAAATTTCCAAACCATAGTTCAACCGTAGTTCAACCAACCTTCATCGCACCTACATCGCACCTACATCGAATCATAAATTTGATAGGCATGGCAATAATAACTATATTAGTACTAGTATGACCTGCATAATAAAAAATTAGGCATTCGTCAGCCTCCGGCTAATTGATTATTTACGTTTTCCTTACATAACTGACATGTCTCGCAAGAACAAATCGAGAAACAATCGACGTTGCACTCAGGGGAAATTTACTGAAAATCCGAAGCAGTATCTACTGTTTTGTGATAGAACCAAATACGATCATATCATCGACAGGGGGTTAATAACAGTCGTAAACAGGAGTGGTGAAACCAAAGCGATATTTGATTACGAAGAAGTATGCCGTTATCTAGATGCTAGTACTAGGTCATAAATGGCTTTGCGATCGGAATATAATACATCGGTCTAATTTTTTATACCACACATGTGACATTGATCCCTTGGGGCTCGATATCATGTGATAAACGTTCACAAATCAGATCCTAATCCCACGTGACGTTGTGATATCATATCACGATCTATATCGATATCAAATAAAGTTCGCCAACGTATATCTGATATTGAGAAAATTTAAATGTTTATTTCGCAAATTTAATCAATATAGCTCCTCTATAAAGCCCGATAATCAGGTGCGATAGCATCCTCACTCCGTGAGACTTTACTCTTTACTTTACGCTTTAGAATGGGACGTTTTCTTTTTGCAAAGCAAGCTTCGGTCCTATGCATATCCTCTATTGCTGAAGTATCTGAATCAGAAGTGTTCGAATCGGAGGTTGTATCAGAGTCGGAAGTAAGGTTATATTCTTGGCCAGATCTATGGAGCGTATGAATCGTTTTTTTCAGATTCCGGGTTGCCTTTTTAATTTCTTTACCGAAATCATCATCCAATCTTCTGGGTGTTGGAGGTACAGGAGGTTTGTCTGCGGAGCAGGACACTTCGTGTCTGCCGTGATACCTCTTTCTTTGCTTATTATCTTCTTTGATTAATGGGATACTCATACCATCGATTATAATTTTAGCATAAGAATCATTGATTTCAGAAGAAAATCCGAAACATATTTTTGCTTTATACATCCATAACCAATCTCTCCCTAATACCAGATCGAACGATGGATTTTTGCGAATTTGAAAGTCTATTACTTCGGTGCCATCTAAGCTTCGCCACTTTCCTTTATAATGAAATTGCAAATCTAAGCATTTTATTTCACCTATTACATCTCTATAGAGATTCTCAACAGGGACAGCTACTACACCCCCATAGAGATTCTCATCAAAATCACGTATTCCATAATCTTCTTCAAGCTTATCAAACAAGCTCTTGCTAATGGTATTGGATTTAGACCCTGTATCGATTAATGCTTTAACTGGGATTTTTCCTTCGACAAGGCAATTTATGAACATGACAAATATTATTTAATGATGTATATTATCAGGAAAAAAAAAATAACTCGGTAAATAATTACCCAGGATTATTGCGAAGCAGGACACTTTGTGTCTGATAACTTCTTTTTAATATCGTCTATTTCCCGCTTAAGTTCAATCAAATCATCTTCTAATATCTCAAATCTAATCTCAAGACTT